GACTTCCCTTCTGCTCTTCTTCTGTGGGGTTTTTAAGCTCCTAGAGAGCCACCTCCTTACCAGCCTCCCCACAGCTGCAGGTACTCAAAAGGACTGATTTCCCCTGCTGTGCTCAAGTTGAAAAATCATCAACAAGTCTGCTTTTGTCATGTCTAAAGACTAAAATGAAAGACTAAAATGAAAGTCCAAGTCACAAAGAGCAACGTGGACCCACACATATTTTACGTCAACAGCTTTTCAGGGTCTGAGGCAGGGTGGAATAGGATAGTGCTTAGACACATATTACATCAGAGTACTATTTAGTCATATAACAGGTAGGAAGGAATCTAACACTGAGAAATTATCTTATTTAACTTTAGTATTTTCTTTCTTAAAGATTTTAATTATTATTAAGTGTTCGTTAAACTCTCCAACTTGCTGCTCAGTAATCATATGCAGTGCTCTATGACAATAATTCGTTGACTTAGTATCTCAATAAATAATATGATCCTAAATTACTTACAAATTTTAAGCTGTGTCAAGTTATAATCACGAGTAGTTTCACTAAAGAAAAAACAATTGTATAAACTTAGGTATGTCCATAGCATACCTTACTGACTGGAACTTGTATGCTGATATTCATGCAGATTTTTCAACTGTGTTAAGAACAAGTATGCTCCCCAGTTTATAGCATAGCTTTCCCCGTCCTGTACTGTAAAGACAAAATAAATCTGCCCATTTGAACGTTTAAACTATATACATTAGGTCAATATATGAAGGAAATTTTATATATATTTTGGAAAATGCCAAGGTTCATCAATGTTCGCTCACACCATCCTCAGATTTATCTTTAAACTCTAACTGCAGTCATATCTTTTAATTTTATATATTTTTCAATAGCAAAAACAAATAAATAGATAGGCAGAGCTATAAAGAGACCTTAGCTAAGCATACTGAAAGTGACATGGTGAGGTTCTAAAGTTTTATGTGCAAGCAACCTGCAATCAACTTGCATTCCCAACAGTGTCACAGTGAACTGAGTCCTCTGAAACCTAACCCTCATTCTTTAGTTCTAATTTATAACAGTTAGGAATAGTAAGCCAATCAGGTAAGCTGATTAAACATGTCCAATTTGAAATGTGATTACATATAAATAGGCAATACGACATAGCTCTCTATATTTGAGTATATGTAATTAATCTAAATAATTAATAGAAATATCACCATCTACTGGCAGATACAAGTATGTAGCCATGTTCAGAAGTCTGTAAGACCAACAAAGTTCATGAGAGAAATGGGTTCCTGACATTGACGCTCTTAAAAAAATGGGAAAATACTGTTTTGCTGTAGAATAATGCCTGCAAACTTTACCAGACTTCTGTGTGCATCTTAACCTAGCATACTGAGGTATTTCACAGTTTTTCTCCTCTCTGCCTGACTAGGTGAGGCTACCTTATGAAATTAACAATCATTTTATCTTCATGCAGCAGAAAGTAACACTTGTATTTGTTGAACTTTATGATCCAACTGGATCCAGCTGGAAAGCTCAGAACTTTATTTTACTTGTGGTGTCATCACTCGTTCAAGCTCCAGCACACGTGCATTTTAGCTACTGTGGATTAAGTTTAGTACCTCAAATATGAGGCACTACATAAACATGCATTAGGCTGCCCAGGTTCTCTGGGTATATGTGATATCTTTTATTAGACTGAGAAGTTGGAAAAAAGTTCTTTGCAAGCTTTTAGGCACAAGCACCCTTCTTCAGGCATAGGGAGTCTCTGCTGTTCTGAGATACCCAAGGAATGAAAGAGCTAAAAGTGTGACAGGATGTCAATGGGAATGTAAATAGGTGGAAATTAGGAAAACAAAAGGTAGAGAAGGGAAGGAGGTAGGGAAACAAGGGGAGGAGGGGAAGCCAAAGGTAAGTAAGGGATTCATAGATTCATATATTCATAGACATTAGGGCTGGAAGGGACCTCAGAGGATCATCAAATCCAGCCCCCTGCCCAAAAGGCAGGAGGTCAGCAGGGGTCATAGGATCCCAGCAAGATAAACATCCAAATGTTTCTTGAAGGTGTTCAAAGTAGGTGCTTGAACCACCTCCAGGGGCAGTCTATTCCACACCTTGGGGGCTCAGACAGTAAAGTACTTTCTTATGTCCAGCCTAAAATGGTCACGGAGGAGTTTGTGACCGTTCGATCTTGTGAACCCTTGGGGTGCTCCGGTGAACAGACTTCCCCCAGATCCTGGCGAACATCCCTGATAAGCTTATAGGGAGCCACCAAATCACCCCTGAGCCTGCGCTTTTCCAGGCTGAAGAGTAAGAGCCCCATATGGCTCTCAGCCTCTCATCATACGGTCTGTTTTTCTGACTTCTGATCATGCACATGGATCTTCTCTGGACTCTCTCAAGCTTCTCCACATCCTTTTTGAATTGTGGAGCCCAAAACTGAACGCAGTACTCCAGCTGTGGCCTCACCAAGGCCAAGTACAAGGGGAGAATGATGTCCTGGGGTTTGCTTGAGAAGCATCTATGGATGAAAGCCAGCGTTTTGCCCACTTTACTAGCCGTAGCATCACATTGAAGGCTCATGTTCATCTTGTGGTCAATAATGACCCACAAGTCCCTTTCATCCATAGTGCTATCCAGCATAGCACTACTGAGGCTTTCATCCTTTGTAGGCCTTTCTTTCAGATGCAGAAGGTGCTCTAGTTCCCTGAAGAGCCAAGGGGGCTGCTGTGCCCTTTTGCTGCCTTGCCTCCGAGATGAGATAGACTTTGTTTGTGCATCCAGGATCACTCCCTTGATAAGCAACAACTCTTCCTGAACTCCCCTCCCCTTTGGGTCGTGGTCCCTTAGGGCCTCACTGACTAGCTTCCTGAGCTACTGTAGTAGTTTTCCAAGGTAGAAAAGAAGCTGTCTGTGAAAAAGTAAATAGCTGGAAATCAGGAAGAAAAAGGTAGAAAAGGAAGGGAGTGGAGGAAGGGGTAGAAAAGCACAGTGTAAAAGGTCAGGTCTGGCAGATACCTGATGAATCAGATGTCAGACAGGTTGTAATGTGTCATAAATCCAATGTTTATATTGAGTCCATGATTTTTTTGTATCCAATAGATTTATTAAGTGAATTGCACCTGAAAGCTTGCAAATAACTTTTTTTCCAACTACTCAGTTGGTCAAATAAAAAATCTCACATCTACTCAAAGAACCTTGCCTGCCTATGTCCTTAGACCAACTCAGTTACAACCAAAAACCCAGCAGCATTAGGCTGCCCTAACACAGAGTAGCAAAGGCACATACATGTTTAGTGACACTTAATGCACTTAATGCACTTAATTTCTGCTGTGAATTAGTGTATTACCTCTGTTTTTGATGTAATATGCAGTGGAGTAAGCTATTGTGCATTAAAGCACACATGCACCTAGCTTCCTGGGAATTTATTACCCTAAAATTCTTCCAATCAGTGCAAATTACCTCATTATTATTTTATATTTTATTTCACATAATATATCCCTACTTTAGAAAGGAGAATATTATTGGCATAAGAATTCTCTTATTCCATTAAAAGGTGGGATGGGTCTTATTAAGAAATAGAAAAGAGAAAAAAATTACTGGCAATACATCCAGTTATTCACTTATTTATTTATTTTGCCATCTGTATCTGCAGTACATACTTGGTTTATGTTTTCAGGTATTTCTATGAAAATGGCATTGAGCGCAGCAGAAAGGTCAAGGAGAATGAGAAATGGAATAGAGGCTTAGAACTTGATTGGGAAGAGGTTATTGGAATGAGGATAATTTCAATCAAGTAGAGTGGACAGAAAGTATATTAGAAAAGATCTAGGAATAAATCTGCACTGCAAAAAGTTGATGTTCTATTGTGGACAATGCTTGAAATGTGGAGCTAAATGGGTTAAGAATTGGGGTGATACATAAGTGGACAGAGGATGTCTATAAGCACCAAAGAAGGAGCCAGTTGAAATAGAGGATCAAGAGATGTAGATAGCTGGGCAGGGAGGAAATGAAGGACAGGTGGAAGGATTACAAGTCTTCTCTTTTTATGGGTGCAAGCAGATGTTTGCTGCACCTAGTCTATGATTATATGGCTTACTTTAAGCTATGTAACTGCAGAAGTGGCTTGTGCACACACTCACTGGTGCCAGGAGTCACCTCAGAAACCTGATCTAACCTGTTCCCAATCTATCTTATTTCACCTTCTCACATGAACTCATTTAGATTGGGCCAGCCATTTTTTTGCTTGATTTAACATCCCTGAGCATCTGCACAGATAGCTCAACCTAACCCTAGTTAAAACAATCTAAATGTATGTCTGCACATACACTATGTTTATAATCCCCCTGCCCTCAAAAGCCTCCATCTGCAAATTTGCACTGTCTCTACTGTCTGCCAGAAAACAACCTGAGCATAGCTTTGCCTGTTATTTTCACAGAACATAGGCAAAGTGTCTGTGCTATGTATTTATCTTAAGGCAATGTTCAGTGTATGGAAGTTTGTATGTAATGCTTCATGTTTGTTTTGGGGTTGTTTCCTACAGGGCACATCTACACGTGATGGTACATCGCCATAGTGACACGTTACAGTGACTTAGCAACCATTTGCATGTACACATGACCAGCAGCTACTACACCATAGTAGTGTACTCCCTTGTTATAGTGTGCCATTAAGGTAAAGTGGTGGCTAAAAAATAACCGTGTACCCGGCGTACAGCACAGTACAGGCTGCTACTGCACCATGCTGTCGTACTTCCTTCTGGAAGTACTAAAGCATCTACACATGACCAGCAGCTACCTTTTTGTAAGTACTAAGGCATGGCACAGTAGCAGTCCGTATCGTGCCGTAGGCCAGGTGCACAGTTATATTTACTTCGCCATGGTGGTGCACTATAGTGATGGAGCGTACTGCTATAGTGAAGTAGCTGCTTCCAAAAGGAAGTACTACACCGTGGTGCAGTAGCAACTTCACCATACAGACACATGTAGACACATCCACACTGTTAAATACACATTGTTCACTTCTGCTCCTCTCCCCTCTCCCCTTTGAGTACCCATTCTTTGGTACCCATCTCTGTTCTTTTCCATAAACAGAGGAGCACTACTGAGCAATTTAAGATCCTGTAACAGATTCTTCCTGACAACTGCCTTACTACTAAATGGCCTGAAATCAGGATGCCTAATGGAACTGACAAACTCATAACTAGACTTTATGGCAAAGAGATCAATGAATGACTTTGTAACAGTCAATAATACAGCACACAAAATAACTCTCCTTTTAGCAAAAACAATTGTTTTGGAGTCCATTCAAACAAATCTCCTGCTCTTCATTGCACAAACACATCTAGGATTGGCAACTTTCTCTGAATTTACAAAACTGCCCTTGAGGAAATAAGAATGGAGAAAGCCTCACTTCAACCCTAGGTTAATGTTAAAGATAACCGGGAAATGAAATGTCTTTGCTTACTTTAAAATAAAAAACGAGAAGGCATTATTTCAAACCATACCTAAAAACAGTAAAAGCAGACTTTTTCTTAGCTCAGTGAATACTTGCCTGACTTGCAGGTAAGAAGGACAGAACCACTTTAAAAAATAACAACTGCCATGATACCAAACAAACCAGTGAATCCAATATTCAAGCCTGACATCATCCCACAAATGCTATATGTCCAGTTCAAACTAATGAAAGTAGTTAGATGGTTCCCTTGTTAAAGTATAGTGACATTTTATGAATGTTAAGGCATTTATTCTCACAGTACCCCTGTTAAGAAAGAACTAATATGCTCAATTTACAAACACTGAACTGAGCCAGAGATGGGTATATATATCCAGGATAACTGAAAATCATAGAAACAGTCTCACCCACACCTAATAAGCAGCAAGTAGACGCATAGATCTTTCATTGTGCATAGTTCTTTAACTTGTCAGGCTTCAATATCACCCAGTTCTTTGAATATCAAATGTCAACTAAGAGCTGTCCAAATTATGAAATATTTGGGAGAGTAAGAGTGGGCAGAGTGCTAATAATGTGGATTTTAAATTGCCATCTTATTTACATTTTATAACCTTTCAATAACAAGCAGCCAACAAAATCCTGGTTTGCTTCAGCTGGAAACTAGCTCTGAAAGACATGACTTGAAAACCTAACAAGTATAGTTCATGGGGGGAAAATAGTTTAATAGCATAAATCAACATGTGGTTTGACAGCAGAAAAGGAGTGATAAATAACTAACTAAATTACATGCATTTCTGGAGACCCCATTTCATTTTTTTCTCTCCACAGGTTAAAACTTGTTCTTTAGGTCCCAAGAAAATCCCTGACAGCCATTAGAAACAGAAAAATACTTGTTCAATATTTCAGCAGGAGGATTTTTTTTTCCCTTCATGTAGCAAAAAAAAAAAAGAAAGAAAGAAAGAAAGAAAAAGCTGTTTCAAGTGGCTGCCCTGCATTTTCTGATGCAGGGCACTTTAAAGGTTCTTTAGATGGCTGTAGACTTTCAGACTCCTTTGCCACAGTTAATAGACCGGTACAATGACTGGAAGACACAGCAAAGGGCTCTTTTAGATGTCTCTAATGACGATAATGCACAGTCATAATCATTTTACTCACGCTACAACGCCATTTTAAATATGTTTTGTACTACTTAAAGTTCAAAATAAATTTGTAAATGTGACATTTTGCTGATCATTCTCCTAACTGCAGTCATAGTAAATTAATTGTACGGTCTGGAATAGAACAGGCCAGCTAATGTCCAAGCTGACTGCCTGACACTCCAGTCAGCTCTGTCATTAATGTTTTTATTCAGCACAACAAAAGGTTGGTAGAATGGGCATTAGTAGCCTTTGAAGAAATGGATGAAAGAAACGGTTGATTACAAAAAAGTCTCCCAGTAGAAAGTATGAGTTTACAGAGCTGAATGATTCCAATCTCTCTCTGCATAGAAAAACAATCCACGTCAAATGTAACATCATATTGCAGCATCGGGAGATACTATTCTAATACTAGCTGGCAAATCCCACCATCTTCCTATAGCTATTACATCTGTCAAATGTTCAAGGTAGCAAAAGGAGGTTACATTATTTTGTGGACAAAAAATTCACATGCTAGCACACAGAATCAAGTCCAATTTATGTTTAACATTTGACCTCCAAAAATTTGTATCACACACTATAAAAGCTCAGAGACTCTGATCTGTTTCTAATAATGTTCCAGTGTTTCAGATTGTGGAATGTTTATGGTCTTAAAGAGATGCACATTGACAAGGATTAAGTGTCAAAAGATTAAATTTTGATGGTTAATGACTATTAGTCTCCGATTGTGTTCAAATTTGATTACTAACATTAATGTGACAATAATCACCAGTGTCTTCTAACACTGGTGGGGTGATCACTGCTGATATTGTCTGTAAAGACTATATGCCACAAAAGAGTAACTTAAAAAAAAAACCAGAAAAAGAATGAAAGTAAAGTACCATGTGCTAATTGCTGTGTATCTCAATATGATTAAAAAAGGAACTGATAGTAACACTTGTATTCAGGTAACCTAAACATCTCTGTTATGAAAGTCTTGCTTTTTTTGTTGTTGCTTTTTTTTTTGGGGGGGGGGGGGGGGTTGAGATGCTCAGATACCTTCAGTATTTGCAGCTAACTACTGAAATTAGGCAGGAAGAATGCTTTTGGGCTAGAGAAGTGCCTTTTCTTTGTCTCATGCATTTCCACTCAGATTTAGTTAAACTGCTAATTATTTAAAAAAGATGAGAGAAGGAGCAAAGCTGGGCTGAACCAATGACTGCCAGATCCAGCATACAGTTCCAGCTGTCTATATTCCTTCTTCAATGGCACTATATGGAGGAGGAATTCATCACCTCTTACTGTGGGAATGCTCTCTGCACATGAATTTTAAATTTTGCTTTTATTAAAGTAAACAATGAAATTACATGCATAAACTTTAATTAAAATATGGTTATTTAGGCTGCACTTGAAAATTAAGTGAATTTAGTTTTGGTCCTTTGTATGTATATGTTATGATTCAGGCTGGAGTTTCAAACTGCTAGGTATCAAGACCTTTGGGCCCCGGGGGAGGCTCACCTGGGCCTAGAGTGAGTGAGGATTTAGTTAGGGAGCTTCTGGAGGGGCTGGACGTTTTTAAGTCAGCCGGCCCGGATGATCTTCACCCTAGAGTCCTGAAGGAACTCGCTGGGGTCATTGCAAGTCCCCTGGCACGGCTTTATGAACACTCGTGGTGCTCTGGAGAGGTG